TCCCCTCCCCTCCCCTTCCCTTCCCTTTCTTTTTATGATCTTGCTCTGTCACCCAGGCTGGAGTGCAGTGACATGATCATGGCTCACTGTGACCTCTACCTCCTGGGCTCAGATCCTCCCGCCAGGTGCGTGCCACCACACTTATCTAATTTTTGAAGTTTTTTGGGGTAGGGACAGGGTGTCACTATATTGCCCAGGCTGGTCTTGAACTCCCGGGCTCAAGCAGTCCTCCCACATTGGCCTCCAAAGTGCTGGGATTGCAGATGTGAGCCACCACACCCCACCTGGACCCCCAGTTTTATCCCAGCCTGCGCATCTACCCTGGTGAAGGAACATTTCATTTTAGAACTGGGAAGACTTTGAATACATCGTGGATCCAGAAGCCAAGAAGCCGGACGACTGGAATGAGGCTATGGATGGGGAGTGGGAAAGGCCTCTGATACCAAACCCAAAGTATAAGGTGAGGGAGGTCTCTCTTTCCAATGGCTGTGAGAGATGAGACAAAAGAAATGTAAATGCTAATTGATGAAACAGAAATTCTGAGATCCTGTCATCTTCCTTTCCCTTAAACCCCCAATAAGACTGTAGCCTCTTCTGAGCCCTGCTCTCAGGGCTATGCCTACGTAGGATGGGGTGGACTGGTAAAGGCCAACATTGACAGGTACAGGGCCAGGCAGCCCTGGGCCTGGAGTTTGTCCAGAGTGGTGGAAAGCAGCCTGTCACAGGAACGTAGTCAAAATAGGACATGGGTTTGGGGTCAGGAACTGGAAGTCTTAGAAATAGGCCAGAAGGAAAAAGGGTAGGACATGAATGAGCCAAAAATGCAAGGGGTAGGGACACTTTTTATTTTATTGTATTTATTTATTCATTTATTTTGAGACAGAGTGTTGCACTGTCATCCAGTCTGGAGTGCAGTGGCATGATCTCGGCTCACTGCAACCTCCACCTCCTGGGCTCAAGAGATTCTCGTGCCTCAGGCTTCAAGCAGCCAGGACTACAGGCACGCGCCACCACGCCCGGCTAATTTTTTGTATTTGCGGTAGAGATGGGGTTTCACTCTATTGGCCAGGCTGGTTATAGCATATCCACCATCCCTATACAGGAAGCATGGTGGCATCAGCTTCGGGGAGGCCTCAGGTATCCACAGTGATGGCAGAAGGTGATGGCAGGGTGTCTCACACGGTGGGAGCAGGAGTGAGAGAGAAAGGGGGGAGGTGCTACACAATTTAAAAGTAAGCAGATCTCATGATCACTCACTCACTATTCAGTACCAAGGGGGGATCATGCTAAACCATTTATGAGAACTCTGCCCCTGTGATCCAATCACCTCCCACCAGGCCTCACCTCCAACACTGGGGATTATAATTCAACATGAGATTTGGGTGGGGACATGATCCAAACCACATCAATTGGCCTTTCTGATTGCATAAGATCAGAAGAATGACAAAATACTAATGCTGTGTTCACTGTTTGGTTCTTTGCTTAGGGAAAATGGAAACCTCGGATCATCGACAATCCCAATTACCAGGGGGAATGAATTCATCCCAAAATAGACAACCCTAAATATAAGCCTGGTGCCACCATTCGTCACTATTATAACATTAGTGTTCTCAGCCTGGACCTTTGGCAGGTAAAGCCCTCTGGGCTCAGAGCCACTGAGCTGCAGTCTCTCAGTTTTCACAAAGTAGAAAGAGCCCCAGGCTGGAAATCATAAGACTTGAATAAGTCTTGGTCTTTCTAAGCCTCAGACTGTTGATCTTTTAAACGGGGGCCGTCACATTCTTCCTAATAATTATAACAGTTACTAAAATTTACTGAGTCCCTCTCATGTACCAAATGCTGTATTAAAGACTTTGCATATGCCATTTAATTTTCACTAGGAAGTCTCCTACTTCTTTTTTTTATTTTGGAAAATTTTAATATATTCTCTATTGTTAAGTGCACCAGATGCTGGACTTCTGAAGCAACAATTATACTTCAGCATAATAACATTTTCTACATTTTTTCTGTTCATGTTGCTTATTCCTCTGATTTATCTAGAATCAATGAATCTGAAAAACAAAAAGATTCTTTAAGCACTTGGTAAATTTCGGGTCCCACATTAGAAAATGAGCAAGCATCAGTAATATTGATGGGGGTGAAAATACGACATTGCGAAAGTCTCCTACTTCTAAATGTGAAAAAGAGACTCAGAAAAGTTAAATAATTTGCCTGAAGACATATATCTGTTAAGGTAAGTAGAAAAGCTAGAATTTAACTACAGCTCTTTTTTTGTTTGTTTGAGACAGAGTCTCACTTACTCTGTGATCAATGCTGGAGTGCAGTGGCGCAATTTCAGCTCACGGCAACCTTTGCCTCCTGGATTCAAATGATTCTCCTGCCTCAGCCTCCTGAGTAGCTGGGACTACAGGCATGTACAACTACGCCTGCCTAACTTTTCTATTTTTAGTAGAGACAGGGTTTCACCATGTTGGCTAGGCTGGTCTCCAATTCCTGACCTCAAGTGATCCACCGCCTTGGCCTGGGATTACAAGCGTGAGCCACCATGCCTGGCTGAGTGCAGGTCTTTCTGATGTCAGATTCAAAGTTCCAATACCTTACACTGCTTCTGCTGGTCCTTGGAGGTGCTTCTAGGGATAAAGGGAAATCAGAGATGTGGTAAAACTCTGAAACATTAAAATCCCCGGACAGATGTTAGGAGTGATTGCCCCAGCCATGATGATAAGTCCTGACCCAGCTTCCCTCCCTCTGCCAGTCATCTTTCCTCTGATTGGAAGGTAAAGAGGAGGGGACAAATACTTCAGCCTTTGAAAAGTTGTTGTCCTCTCCATCTCTTTCTTCTCTGAGACTTATTACTAAAGATGGAGAGGACTCCTCCCCAAATCAGGAGAAAAGAGAGTGCCTCAAGGCGCCAGAGTAAAGGCCTTGGCCATGATTCCTCCCAGGAGTCTGTTAGAAACTATAGTCTACAAAGTCCTGGATGAAGAATTCCCCTGGAGAGGAAGGGAACTCACTTTTGTTAAACACTGGCCTAGGGTCAGTGCTTTACCTACATTACCTCCCCAAATTCTCACAACTCTATCAGGTAAGTACTATTATCCCTTATTGTTTTTGCATTTTATGTTTGAGAGAATTGAGACTCAGAAATGCCAAGTGACATGTCCAAGAGCACACAGCTAATGCATGGTAGAGACATGATTCAAACATAGGTCTGTCAGTCTCTAAAGCCTTTGCTGTAATGATTACACCCACTGTACAATAGAGCCTCTGGAAGCCATAGCCACCTGTCCTTGGGTATATCCTGCAAAGTCCCATGGCCACGGAAATCTGTGTCTCTGATCAGTGATTTCTACAGTTCAGAGCCACCGAAGGTTTCTGGGAGTGACGCCCCCTATTTGAAGCTTTCTTGGTTTGTTTATTTATTTTCTACTTTATTTATTTATACTTTCTTGCTTCTCTGGCTCAAGAAGACCAACATAGGAGTAGAATGAGGTCATGTATGTAAATAACCAGGAGCATGTGTAGCGGAGTGGGGCAGGGTTCAGAAGAAAAGGAAGGAAGGGAGGAAGGGACACATCGTATCTTTCTTTTCTTTTCTTCCTCTCTAATTTGAAGAATGTGGATACACTTTGTATTGTTATTATTTTTTTTTTACAGTTGTCTCTTTTTAATACATAAGGAGAACTTTCTACATCTTGTAAACATATGTGATCATATTAATATGCCTAATCTGATTATTTCATTAAAATGCTTATCCCCCCACTGAAAACATTAAGGTACACATTTTAAACTGTATCTTTATTCATATACAAAATTAAAAGTATTTGACACTAATTGCTCTGGGTTCTATCAACCTCTGAAAGCAGGCAAATCTTAGTATTTGAAGAATTTAAACCATGCCAGAGGAGTGCTTCTCAAACTTTAACATGCATATGAATAAAATGGGGGGTCTTATTAAAATACAGATTCTGATCCAGTAAGTCTGGAATGAAGCCCAAGAGACTACATTTCTAAAACTCCAGCATTATCTCTTAATTTTGTGAGGAGTGTGTGTGTGTGTGTGTGTGTGTGTGTGTGTGTATTTGAGAGAGAGAGAGAGAGAATTCTGCACAATGCAGACATTACCTTTGGGAGCATGTTTTTTTCTAACTTCCAATTGGGTCTGGCACTCACAGGTCCTACTCCACCACCTCCCACATCCCCCGCCCCCGCACTCAGCCAGCACAGAACATCCAGGTTACCACGGGGTCCCTGAACTTCATTGAAAAGTCAAGTGACTCTCAGCATGGAGATGGGTGGGAATTCCCTCACCTGCCTCCGCCCCAATTTCCAGCCTTCAGATGCTCTGGCAGCCCAGATGCCCTCCCCATCCCTCCTTGGTCCCAGCCTAGTAAGATGATCAACTTTCCTGCCTAGTCCCTGACCTCTCCTGTTCCCTATTCTGACACTTCCAAAGACAACCCCTTTACCTTTTTTCTTTGGTGGAAGTGACTGCATTGTTTTTTTTTCGTTGTCGTTGGTTTTGTTTTTTAAATCAGCACAGAGGCTGGGAGGAGATGGTAGAGAACAAAGAAACGTTTCCTCTTACCATTGGAACTCTTCATGATCTTTGAAGGAATGAGTGTAGTCTAACCACAATGAGTATAACCTAGTCATAATGTCATCACCCAATGGGTTCATCTAACCCACTGCCCGGAAAAGCTGGAGCACTGAGAAGAGCAAGTTTCCACAACAGAGAGTTTAATAAATGCAAAGCTCGCTAAGCGGAAGGATAGGAAATTTTTATTACTCATATTAGCCTCTCTGAAAATTCGAAGGCTAGGATTTTTTTAAGGATAGTTTGGCAGGCGGGGGGCTAGGGAATGGGGAATGCCAATTGGTTGGGTTGAGGGTGAAATCAGAGAGTCAAAACTGTCCTCTTGAGCTGAGTCAGTTCCTGGGTGGGGGCCACAAGACCAGATGAGCCAGTTTATCAATTTGGGTAGTGCCAGCTGCACTCTGCATCAGAATGCAGAGTCGGAAAAACACCTCAAATACCAATCTTAGGTTTTACAATAGTGATGTTATCTACAGGAGAACTGGGGAGGTGGCCTCTGGCTGCATGACTCCTGAGTCATAATTTCTATTTTGTTAGTTTTACAAAGGCAGTCTGGTCCCCAAGCAAGGAGGGGGTTTGTTTCGGGAAGGGGCTGCTATCGTCTTTTTTTTTTTTTTTTTTTTT